TCAGTTCAGTGAGTCGGACTACGCACTACCGAGTCAGGGCTACTCCTGCCAAGCGCTGAACAATTCGGTGAACAAATCTTTTGAACGAATCATTTTAATGAACTGATTCTAGTGTTTCAGTAACATCTAAAGAACTGCTTTGCCCATCACTAGTGGAGGAGCGAGGGGTGGAACTTACTGAGAGCTCAAGAACACTATTGGCAGGCAGCCTGTCACTCACAGTGGTCACGCCCTTAATAATGCATTACATTAAGTCTTAATTAAATGTAAATGTGTGAGATATATAAAAATTCCCTCCCCATGCAGTTGTCATGAACAGGGAAATTAGCCATAAAAACCAAAATGGTTGTGTGTACCAGGCTGTAAACATATTGATTTCAGCTGTGAAGTTTAGCATTTTAATACGGGGGTGTACGAAGAGTGACTCACTTTTGGGGCCAGCCTCAAGTGGCCAGTTGAGGAACTGCAGTTTGTGGCACTTCAGCATTTGCTTCATTTTCTTGATCTAACTTTCAGCAAGAGTGAGAATAAAAGCATTTTTTCCTCATATTTACTCATCCAGCAGATTACATTAGGGTTTATTTGGAGTCAGACTTTTTGGCTACTTCACAAATAATCTAACCTTCGCTGTCTTTTTCTCTCTGTTTTGCTCTCTACCAACTCCTGAGTTAAACATCAGGCTCTTTAGGTGCTAAATACTCGACAACGTTCCACAGCTAGCTGCAAAATTTGTCTGTCTGCTTTTGGGGAATATACAGTGAGTTTCAGAGCTTTTTTGCTGAAAACAGTTATCTGCATATTTAACTCATAAGTGCGGAGAGAGGGAACCAAAACAGTAAAGTTGGAGGATGCAAAACCAAAACAATCAGTCAGTGTTGATAGCTCCGCTCTGTAGAGCTGAGGGGAACTGCAAAGTCAAGTGATAATTATCTGTGGGTTTGTCACTGTTCACAACCCCTTTCAATTAGTTTGATCCATTGGTGATGCAGAAATATAAACTAGTGCAGCTATAATAATTGTTACTTAGAAGTACAAAGTGCAAACATCACACAGTTATACGTTGGCAACAAAAATACATTCTTAGCAAATAAGTGATTGTAGTTATGAGCAGGATTTACGAAATGCTCCTGTAATACAACACTGTGCTTTCATGCTGGGGGTTACAGCCTCAGCGTAGGTTTCAGTGTCTTGCTTTAAAAGACAGCCTGTTTCATTGATGTATTGTACCTGCAGTAGTGTCAGAAACTGAGACTATAAGTCATCGATGTCCAGGATTAACTGTGTTGGTGGTACATCTCTGAGATGTGTTAATTGAAACACAGGGGGCTGCTACCAGCTCTGGCAAAGCCATAGTGCAGTAGTGTGTCACAACAAACTGGTCCTGCACTGACCCTCTTCCTCGTCTCTCATCTCTCCTCCTCTCTCATGTATCCTTCTTACACCTCTGTGATATTTCCCTCGGGAGCTGGTGCAGTATGTAGGTTACTGTAACCTATATGGGTAGCGCCATCCATTGGCATCGCAGTCAGTAGCTGTCAGGAAGCAAGTTTCATCGCCTACATATTCTCATGTCACATCTGTGTTGTTCACTCATCACATAACCTTGCTCTCAGAGATCCCCAGCAGTATGTGAGACAACAGTGTCACCTATGGGCGGGGGAGAGATCCGCACTCCACCTCATCAAGTGCAATGCAGCTCCTGGACACTGTGCAGGTGAAAAGTTCTTTTTTACATCATTCATGCCACGCTCTGGGACTCCTGCACCTGGACACGTCGCTTGTGAGACACGCACAACCAGTGTTTCTCCTCCCTGAGTTATTAAAACAGCCAGCCAGATGACTAGCAAACAGACACGGCGGAGTTCAAAAGAACAAGAATGGAAGAGGATTGTGAATAATTAAATTTTTTCTGTTGCACTTCTCATTACTGTAATTACACAGCCATTGTTCTTTGACAGGGAAGAAATGTGAAATTGCAATTTAGGCAGTGAAATTGTCATTTGTAGCAGTAATTGACACTAATAAAATGATTTTTCCGTCTTTCCCCTTGGATCATATGCTAATCAAAATGTGAAGTATTAAAAAAGACACTAACGGGCGTGATAAGCAGCTAATGAAAGAGGGGAGGCAAGTGGGACAGTAATAGACATACTCCCGCTAATAAGTTCCTGTTCATTAGAGCATGCAAACTGTACCCTCCTCCTGTCTTGTCTGTTTCTTCTGACTGACAGCTTTGACAGCCTCTCCTGTCAAAGGGAAACTTTTGACCGCATCCTCAAATAAAGCATTAATATTTCACAGTACCACTAAGCAAGTTATAAGCCTCTTTATAAATGGATCAGTAGTGTACTATTATTGGAGGGTGACATAAGCCTCTACTTGACTCTCTATTTAAAAATAGATGACACTGTCTATAATGCCAGCATTTTGATGACATTTTCTGTGTCTGGGAGGATGTCTTCACTGCCTCTCACGATGTTGGTAGGCTGACTCACACAGCTGATATGACAGACTTTGATCTCTCCCACTCCCCTCCCTCCCTCCCTCCCTCTCCCTTTTGCTATTCCCCCAGTGGACCTCTGCATATGTCGACCCACATCCACCCTGAAAAAGCCGAACGAAGATCCATGAAATGAGATGCCAAATACTCAGCTCTCCTTGTGACATGGCAAAAAAAGGAAAGTGTGATAGGGAGAGAACAAAAAAAAAAAAAAAAAAAAAAAAAAGTTGAGAAGCACCATTGGCCATAATGAGAAGTGTGTGACTTCAGTTCACCGCTGATGGGCGTATTAATCTTACTGCAATAAAATCTGGTCAGGCATTCACAGTGGGACGGCACACCAAACGTGGCTTAGGTCCCAAATTACACCCTGGAGGCCTTTTACCCTTTAAAAAGAGGATGGGAAACTGCTGCAAAATAATCCAGAAAATAGCACCTGTGTTACAAATAGGCAGCAGACGGGCTGCGGGGAGGGCTTGAGGCGACTTATCCGTAACCTGTGCAGGTAGGACGGTGTCAGGGAGTCGCAGGGAGATCAGGAGTGGTGGGTTTTTACCATTAGGGCTGTAGCGATCTGGCGTGCGTGGGGAGATGAGGGGAACTCTCAGAGATAATCATGCTAACACTGAGTTCCCTCATTACCTCTGAGGCTGAGCTGCAGGCAGGAGTCCAAGTCACACACACACGGTCAGAGAGGGAGAGTGAGAGCTTCCAAAGTAAGCTCAGCGTGAACTGTGGAGAGCACAGAACTAAGCCAGAATGTTGATCACAGGGATCTGTGGAATGAGGAGAGGCCATTAATGTCAGCCTCTTGAGGTGATTAAATATTAAGGCTTGGAAGCGATTTTATATGATTGCTCCTGATTGATCCATGTTATATAAGAGCAAAATTAATTGAGTTTATTTGTTCGGCATCACCTCTTGTTTCCCCTCCACAGAACTCTAGGCTTTGAGAGAAACCTGACATACTTTCTCAGTGAGTTCTCCCTGCTCCAGCCTATTATACAGTTCAACCCTGCTCAAAGTCACTTCAATTATCAACATGATACTGTTAGTGCCTCTGGTCCCAAGAGGTATTGTAGTAGTACAAGGCTACAGATCACATTTAGATCTCAGATCAAAGATGTTACAATTTGCCCAAACCCTAATTGGCGTCAAGCAAAAATAGAACGTTTGAACTCCCTCTGATCGCTGTCAGTATAGGGCAACAGTGGATATGAAGGGTGACAAAGTTCAGTAAAAATGCTTTTTTGACACATTTGCATGGATACTGTTTATATAATCTATGTTGTTTTTGATTTGGATAGACATGCTCTGTGTTTGACTGATGCGAAGTGGAGAAAAAAAACATAACAAGACAAACAAGTTTTGAGGAATTTGCAAGAAAGAGGTAATCACCTTCACGTTCTCTTTCTTTATTAGTGCGGCTGTGAAGCATGAACTGTCTGATTTGAATGGAAACACGATTTTATCTTTTGGAGAACAATATCGGCGTTGACTTAGCTCTGTGTGACATGTCCTCTACAGTATTTGATGTCCCTCTCAAAGACAGCACATCTTGTGAATGTCACAGAGGGAAATGCACAGTACCTTTAGCATATATGAACACTGGCAAAAAAATGCATACATATTAAAGCTGCTTTTGATTCCCCACTCTTTGTTTTGTGATGCTCGCCATGATTTGTGGGATGCATACCAAAGCTAATTGTCATCTGTCAGTCTCCACTCAGACACCTGCGGATCACCGCGTGTTGGCGGAAGCTATTTTAAAACTTGATCAAAGCCTGATGTGAGTGCGACGAGGCGAGGTCATCCATAGCTCTAAGTGAAACTAAAATAAGCTCGTCCTAAATAGTGATCATCCCTCAAACGGGTGCAAAGAGCGCATTTAATTTGCAAATTCAAAGCTGAAAGAGGCCACTGTGTTAGGAGACAAATTAAAGACATTTGTAAATGTGTAACCCCGATGCTGCGTTCCTCTTACAGTCTTTTCAGGCACACAGACACACTAATGTTTTTTCCAGCATGCAGTTTCCAGCGACTTTCAGAAAGGAAAAAAGGAACAAAGTCTCGCAGGGCCTCTTACCTAAACTGTCAGCACCTCATTCATCATGATGAAATAAGGAAAACAAATGTTGTGCAACATAACGACACAGGGGAAATTTTCTCTTAAGGTTAAACACTATTTTAAGCAGCTATATGAACAATGACTTTAAGCAATTTAACGCTCCTTCCATGGGCTGTGGAGTGTGTTTGGATCCATGCCTGTGTATATGGCCCCTCATGAGTGTGTGTTTTTCCGCTTGAGCGAATGTGTGTTTGAGAGAGCAAGTGAGAGTATTTTACAGTGCCAATAGGAAAATAAAAGTTATGTGAGGTGTGTGTGTGTGTGTGTGTGGGTGTGCATTATGCAAATACCTGCCCGGTATGAGCCTGTACAGGTAGCCAATTGGTGCGGTATAAGGAAGTTAGGAGGATAAAAAAGCTATTGTGGTGGGGCAGTACCTAGTGTGGCTGCATGCTTTCATCTGTTAATTAAAGGCTTTGGGAAGCAAAAGGACTCACCTCGTCTCACTGTAAGCACCGGACCTCCAGAGAATTGGAATCTCCTGGAATTAGTATTGATCTCTATTCAGGGTGTTGCGAGTGAATCTACGTGAGACATCTATCAGGCCTCGTCTGACCCCATTCTACTGCTCTGGTAAGCTGACATACTGGTGCTGGGCAGCCAGCAGGGCTTTTCAAAATGACTCAACACAGCAGGAGCAAACCGAGGGCTGCTCTAATACGCTTAGTGTGTTTTGATGCCATTTGATTCTAAATGTATTGTGATTTTTGTTTATGTTTTTATCTGCCTTTTAACCTGCTCTGTTCAGGGTGTCTGTGCAGGTGTGGGGATTTCACATGTATTTCATGTTATTGCAAGACATCCAGGGTATGATTATCTGTGCAATCACACTGAGCAGCACCAAAAGTTTTAAGAAAATTAGAGACCTTGAATAGTGCTCACAAACTGGCCCATTTACCCTCACTGGAATATTTCTTTGCTCGCATTTACTGAGAGGATATCAAATTCCTAAAAAAAAAAAAAAAAAAAAAAAGTTTGTGTAATGCTATGCAAAATAATGCATTAACTTTAATATATTCCCCAGTACTCACTTTTTCAGCACACTTCCACACTGTCAACACTGCACCTCCTCACTGTGTTTCAGCTGGTGTCGCAGGAAGGTTGCATATTTAATGCCATGGCATCAACCTCACTATAGGGTAGTTCCACAAGCCATGCTTTACAGTATTTAGGTAAAATAAGCAAAAACAGTTTGGTTAAATACTATCATGAGGCTGCAATGACTGACATGATGATTTTGCGAACTTCTTCAGATAAGCGTTGCTTATCTTCGAACATCATCACATAGCATATGCAGTGATGTGATTTTTCACCATGGCTTGGCTAACGGGATATCGATCCATAACCATGACTACGTCTTTGTCTCTTTTTCTTTTGCGCTGCTACATGATTGTTGTATTGACAGAAAGTACTTGCTGCCTTGTTGATAAGATACCTGCTTGGCAGCAGCAGACAGCGGCGAGGGTTAACACACAGCATAAGGTGTTTGAGCAGCCTTGGCAGATTGTCAGCTGAGGAGCTGATCTACCTTGGCATGACGACGTGTGTCACCTGTCTCCTGGGGAAATCTCATTCGGGGGATCTTGACTTTAGGTTGTTATAAAAACTGATTTGCCAGATCTTGAAGGAGCCTCGGTCACCTGTCTGTATATGTGTCACATTTGTGTTAGGCTGGCAGCGCAGTATCTACTGTTGGGACGTGTGACAGGGCTCGGTGTAATTTTGTTTACAGCCCGCCATAAAGGTGTGACCAAGATCTTCCAGGTAACAGGTGCAATGTAGGTCACTGTGTAAAGAAATGGAGTCATTGTGCAGCCATGTGAAACAGGTGTACCCACCTTAGGCAAAGCTAACCTTTGACAGCTTGATTACAATATATAACAACTCTCAATATAAAACAACTCTCATCATAGACAGTGAATTAATATCATGTTTAAAGCACGTGTAAAGACAAATTAAGTTCACTTCCTAAAGCGAGAAAGCTTTGTTTAAATCCACAGTGTAGAACAAAGAATGTGTGGCATTCCTGGAGCACAGTTAATAGCTAAACTACAGTAAGTAATAGTCTGGCATGTAATGTCTCATGTCCCAAACATTCAGAGTCCATTACCACATAACAGAGTAACATAAAACCAAATACTGTGTCAGGCATGACTCAGCCATTGTGTATGTGCAACACTGCCAAATATCTGACAAGCTTTATTTACATGTGATGCAAATCTACTTGCGGTTAAATTTGAAACATGCTTTTTATTTACCTCTATGTATGTATACAGCGCTAAGTGCAAAATGTGAAGCATAAAAAGGGAGTGCAGCGGTGACTGGCGATGAAATAAGCAGCTGTAATTATGTAAAATCAACGTGGAAATATAATAACACCAGTATCTTAAACAACAGCAGCATGTAAGTTTATGTTACTTAAAGGCATTTTAAGCATTTGCTGAGGTGAAGACAGCACAAGCAGTCCAAAACAAATATGATTACAGAAGTGACAAACAGATGAAATGGTTTCACACCGTTTAACCAGCAAATAGGCCTCTATTATAACATAAAACCCACTGATCTATTCGTCTGTCATATTTGTATGTCTAACAGACAGCTTACACAACCCATAAACTGTGCTGACACAGAATTCCTTTGTGTAACTACTTGTTAGTGACCTTAAATGGCTTATTATGAATACATTTAATTTAATGAATTAACCATTTTTACACAGTTTAAGTGTTGTAATCCTTCAGATTTCAGGCCTGGTTACGTTGTTCATGACAAACACATTGCCTTTCCCATGGCTGCTTCATAATAAATTCCACCTTCTCATATTTCAATGTGTAGCAGGGCTGTAGTATTTCCTGTTTGCGTTAGCAGAAATGTAATAAAGCTCTCACTGTGTAAAGACAGCAATCAGTAAACAATGAAGCAGATAGCAGTGAGATAAGATTGGATTACGTGCATGCACCGCTTTTATGTGAATCCCTCTTATTTAGGTAGTCAGTCTGAATCCAGCAAGTAAATGGCGGACCCCGCCACTAGCAATCAAAACTGTTATATTGATAAATAAGTAAGCTTTGGTTTCATGAAATCTTTTATTTATTCTTTTATCTATATTTGATCATACCTTTAATGTTCAGTTGAGTTAAACAAGCTGTTTATTATTATCTTAATATATCTTAGTACTATATAATGACGAAAACTCTGTCTGTGGGTCTGTCTGTGTGTCTGTTCCACGTTTTTCTCCTCACTGACTTGGTCAATCCATGTGAAATTTGGCACAGTGGTAGAGGGTCATGAGAGGATGAGAATGAAGCAATATTACATCAATTGGCCAAAGGGGGGCGCTATAGCAACCGATTGAAATTGCAAACTTTGAATGGGCATATCTCATGTCCCGTATGTCATAGAGACATGAAACTTTGCACAGAGATGCCTCTCCTCATGAGGAACAAATTTGCCTCAAGAACCCATAACCTCTGGTTATATAGATTTTCCGCCATTTTGAATTTTTTGAAAAACACTTAAAATCGATCTCTTCCTAGGAAGTTTGACCGATCTGCATGAAACTCGGTGAACATAATCTAGGGACCAATATCTAAAGTTCCCTCTTGGCAAAAGTTGGAAAACTTACTAAACTGAGCTTCTATAAGGCAATGACTTTAACTATCTGCCTGTCAATGTGCTACCTCAACTACTAATGTACAGTTTTAGCCCACTAACTATCCCACTATTGGCAATGGTACTACTGGTAATCGTACTATCAAATTCACAAAAACTTCTTAATGGGTTCAGTTGACTATTTAATCTGCAATTTCCTATGACCTGTATCCCAAACACACACCATGTGAAACTGTACGTGGGCAACTGTGCACTCAATAGGTATGGACTAGTATCTTATATATTACAAGGGTATTTTTTAATATTTGAAGATAAATCACAATGTGACCCTCAGAATATTTCAAGCATGGTTGTTTTGTGTGTCCCTAAAGCAGGAAAGAATGTTATTTCATTTTCAATTGATCCACACAGTAAATTGCTCCTCTCCTGCCTCAGCCTCTGGGCCATGGTACATCAGAGTGTAGCAGCTACAACATGAGTGTAACTCCATCCACCACCCTGGACAGCCAGCTGACCACTACCTGGGGCCCCACAAACTCCTACTCTGACGGTGAGGCTCGCGACCAACACTAACACGCTCTTAACAAAGCGTACTGTATGCCTTATCAGCATTATGAATGCACTCCTCACCGACGTAAATCACTTAATTAAATTGTCTGAATTAAATTCTAAAATGCCTCAAGAAAGTATGTTAATTTGTTCTGCTGTAGGATTCTGATTGCTCTCTGTTCAACAATCCAGTTTTCTCACTGGTTATGAAGTTGTGATGCAAAATGGAAATCATTCAACAATTAGCGACTGATGTATTGCTCACCTGGTGAGCCCCGAGCTCTGAGACACAAGGCATGAATTAGAGATTCCCGACTGAGAAGTAGCTCAACAGCTCTTTCAGTAAACTGCACTGCAGATTAATTATTGACAAATACCTTCAGCGGAGGAATTTATGTTTCCCCTTCAGAGGCATATTTGCATTAAAACAAAATAAATCCACCGATGTAGACAAACGCGTCACTTATGCCTGTCTACATGTCTGTCTCCAGTTTCGATGGTGATGTCTGGTTACACGAGTCGCCTGTGGCCTCGTGACACCCAGCCTCAGTTCTGGAGTAAGTACCAGGTGTGGGAGTGGCTGCAGCAGGTCATGGACATGCACCAGATCGATGCCTCCAGCATTCCCTTCCAAAACTTTGATATGGACGGCCAACAGCTCTGCAGCCTGAGCTACCAGGACTTCATCCATGCTGCCGGCAGCGTGGGACCCATCCTCTTCCACAGCATCACAGAGCTCAAGTGGAGCGGTGCGTCTGAGAGAAGGGGGGGGGGGGGCTGAAGGGGGGGGGAGGATGATTAGTCCCAATAAAAGAGAACCTGGGCGATGCAAGTTGGGTCTAGCTGAAGTGTTGCTGAGGAGGGATCACAGAGCCAGTCAGGGGTCGCACTGCGTGGTGCTGTAGAGGGGGCGAGAAACTGCTTAAAGCGAAGGAGATGATGGATTTGTTGTTTGCTCTTGCGAGAGCGGGTCTCCTAACAAAGCACAGAGGGGGTGTGAAGCTGAGAAACAAGCTGGCTCATCAGCTGTTTTTTAATTAGAGTTTGAGGGTTATTGTAAAGAAACAGGAGTTCATAGGCTCAGGGCTTCACCTTTGGGCTTTAAACTATTATGTGAAGAATGTAGCTTAGAGGAAATTAAGGCGATAAATATTCTTGGGCAACGTTGCGTTGATGAAAGACATCAGCATATCATAGTTTATCTAGCGTCTACGGTTAATGGCATTTCAAAACAACAGCAATGCCAGGAGACCAGGCACAACAGGTTTAACCTCCAGGTGACAGGGACATTGAAGGTGAACCGAAGCAGAGCACAATGCTGCTATTGTTCCTGCAAGCTGCAAGAAAGCAGCTCAGTTTCTTGGGGAAAGGAGTTACATTTTTACACATCAAAAATCATTGTGATACCTGGGTATAATTAGCACAAAAAAACTTGAGGCCTTGAGTAGTAATGGGTAACATTGTGGGAATTTTAGGCGTCAGATTTCCCATATTCCTTCTCGTAAAAGAATCTTTGTTGCTACTTCTCTGTTTCTCTGCTGTTTTTTCTGAGGAACAGATAATTTTTCAGCCAATATGAATAAGGAAGTAATACATGTTTTGGCTCTGTTGGTACTGATAATACAAAAACATCCTGTTTTAGGCTGTGGGAGTAAAAGTATCTGCATATGCCATAAAGACACACATCAGGTTCCTTGAAAACCAGCTAAAACAATCTGCATCACAGTGTAACATGTGATATAGTGTCCCACAGAGGCTCTCAAGACTTTCAGCAAAGATTTGGTTCACAGCTCACAATGAATGTGACAGTTAATAATCAGTCTTCACATGTTGCGCAACACTAACAATTTAAATTCCCTGATTTGATTTTTTTTAATTTACTTCCTTATTCCTTCTCATCCCTGCGCAGGGCAGTACCATGTGGAAATAGGGCAACTGGAACTCAAACCAGAACGTAAGAGTCTCTCAGACAAGTTGTTCGTCAAGAAAATAAAATGTCAGCAGAGATAGGCTCAGATAAATCTTATGTCCTTACACTTATCTTTTTCCCCCTATATAGTAGACTTCTCCTGTCCATTTCCAGACGTCAGCTATCCACCTGGAGGTAGTGTAAATATATCATTTCTGCTCATACTTCATTTGATATGGATCAAGACAAATAAATGAAATGCTTTCCTCTGTTATCTTAGAAATCTACGATCCTTCAATTCACTCCCTCGCTCCTGTTGCCTCTCCCACCCCTTCCAGCCCTGGTGAGGAATTCATGATATAGACTGCACAACATGAGTATTACAAGTGAAAAAAAAAATACATAAAAGGATTCAACAGTGATTTGATTTGTTTCTTACAGATATCAAAAGGTCTTTCAATCGTCAGGTCAAAAAACACAGTAAGTAATATCAATGCATCTTTACATTTTAATATCATTTTTCCCCCTGGAACATATGTTTACTGCTACCATTCAACCTACCTTCTCTCCTGACAGACCCAAGGGGCACCCACTTGTGGGAGTTCATCAGAGACATTCTGCTGAACCCAGAGCGAAACCCGGGGCTGATCAAATGGGAGGATCGGACAGAGGGGGTTTTCCGTTTCCTTAAGTCAGAGGCAGTGGCGCAGTTATGGGGCAAGAAGAAGAATAACAGCAGCATGACTTACGAGAAACTAAGCCGGGCAATGAGGTACACCTGCAGCTCTCACACACTACATGTAGTTACACACATACAAAACCAGACAGTAAGTTATCACCCACTGGAGGAAAATATGTTGCAGATGCCATTTTGCAATCACCTAAAAGTAATCATTTTATTTAGCTCTCATTGATTTTAAAGGTCCAGTGTGTGGGAGTTAAGGTCATCTATTGGCAGACATTATATATAATGGAATTCATTCATTTATAATCACCTGAAAGTAAGAATTGTTGTGTTTATGTTACCTGAGAATGAGCCGTTTAAATATATACATGAGGGTCCTCTTCCACGTAGTCCACCAGGTTGTTTCTACAGTAGCTCAGAATGGACAAATCAAACAATGGCTTTAGATAGGGCCATTTGCATTTTTGCATTGTTGAATTGGCCATTAGTTTTACTTCACGCTTTGCACATAGCAGAAGTTTCAGTTCTACTAGATGCCAATCCGACACACTAGACCAGGGGTGGGCAACCTGTGGCTCCAGAGCTTCATGTGGCTCTTTAGCCACTCTCTTGTGGCTCCCTGTGACTTTAAAAAAATAAAATCATATGAGAATGCATTCTCACTCTGACATCGTCATCGACGTTTGGTCATGGATGTGAAAGGTACCCTGGGTGCGTTGGTGCCGTGTCAAGTTCTGCCTGTTACATGCATTGTCTTCTTTTAAAATGCACTTCTGTTTTCACAGGAAATTTAATGTTTACATATAGTCTCTTTCAAAATAAAACGCACTATGTCAGTACAACACTGCAAATTGACGTTTTTTGTTTTTTGTCCAACAACAAATGCAAGTGGTTAACTTTAGGAAAAACGAATAGGGTTTGGCTTCAGAATCTTACATGATGTAAACACCGCTCTCCCAGGTGAGGTCGCTGTTTGTTGGTCCCATCCACCACACTTCCCACCCGCCCCACTCGGACTTTCACCGCCTTAATTTTCACTCTTGCCCACTCGCTTTTCCCCCGATGCCATCGAGCACCATTAAACTACAATGGTGACCGGCCGTGTATCATGCTGACGTTAAAGGATGGCTTTTTTTGCCAGTGTCTGATGCCACAAGTCACTGCCCATGCGCCAGATGTCGACGACTTCAGAGTGAGACCAAGTTTTGTTTTTTTTTTACATTTTAGTTAGTATTCATCACTGTTGTAGGTGAAGAAAGCGAGTTTTTTTTTGTCAACTACACCTACAGCCTGGCACATTTTCCTCTAAATGTTGCTGAGGTCATGTCTAATGAACCTCGGTAGTGGTGGCTAATCTTGAATCTCCCTAGCAAGGCTAGATATGGACTCCAAATCCAAAAATACAACAGTCTCGGAGGAAAATGGAAGCATTAATAATTGGTGGACAGATTAATTTGCTTCACCACCAGCTCTTACCACATGGAGACACAGGATCAGTGATGTTCAAATTAACTTGTACACAGAGATGCCTGTAAACAGAAGTGGTTCTCTCTTTATATTTGAATATAATAAACCTTTATTATGGGGCTTTTTTGTTTTTATGTACTTTATGGCTTTATATCTGACATCCCATCTGGCGAAACAGTTATGTATATATTAACTTTTGGAGATGTACACCAAAATGTTCCTTAAAACACTTGACGATTTTGGTCAACAATGGCTCATTTGACAGTAAAGGTTGCTGACCCCTGCACTAGACTTTCAATGTGCTGTATTCAGCAGACACTGTGGCCTCTAAATGCTGCCATAGGTTGATACGTTTTCTTTTTCTTCACGTAACTTTTTCCTCCGTGAGAGTGATCTGCAAAATAAAGTTTCTGCACTTTCAACACAATCAACGCCCCGCATGCACACACAGGTTTTCTTTACTTTGGCAACAGCTTGTAAAATCTATGATAAGGAAGACATTTCACACTGCATTGTTCCTAATCCAGTTTACTTAAGCAGCTTATAATGCTGTTGCTACTGAAACAGTTACAGCTAGGAATTTTACTTTGAAACAACCTCAAATGCTTATAGGTGAAATCATTTAGAGTTATCTAAAACCAGCGAGCTCAACCCTTTAAAACACATATTTCCCAGTGCTGATTACCTAAAGTAAAATGAACTGCTCTATGTTTTCTGCCGAATGAACTGAAATAGCCTTCTTCCTCAGAAAATCTTCCTGGCTCCTGCAATAGTCACAGCTTTACATTCAAATGAGCTAATCTAATGAGCTTAATTTCATTGTAGTGCAAACCACTGGGAACTACAAAATGTGCCCGCAGGTATTGTCACTGTGACCACAAAGCTGATTTTCTATTTACTGTGGTGCAGCAGAAGGATTTGCAGCTTGATGGCATCACCAAACAGATCACTTCTCTCTGTTATGAATAACAAAGGCAAAGAAATAACAACCAAACTAACTTAGTTTCCTTTCATTCAGATTTCTGTGATTGAATTTAGAGGAAATTGAAAACACATTTTGGAATGAAAATGGCATTTAGCGAACAACAGACACACTGAGGAAACATGTAACTCTGTTGGCAAAGTTGCCATCTATTTCATGACAACATTAAATTTGAAAAAAAAAAACTTCAGTCCAAGTGAAATTGATGCTCTGTCTTCATACTTTCATAACATATTGGTTTAAAAACACATAATACAGTTAAAGTCATTTTGTTGAAGGCAGTAACTCTAATCTAATTGCTTATAAAAACAGAATAATCAATTAATTCAGATTACTTCTACTGAATGAAGGGAAACGCACAATATATTTCAGTTTTTGGAAGACAAACATTACATATGATGAAAGGAATGAAAAAAATAAGGCTGGCTAAACTTTATATTTTTGTTATTGTCCACAAATCCCTTGAAAAGACAAAAACCAAGCGTGTGTTCGTCCTTCTGTTTACTTTATGTCTTCAGCAGCCTGTCTTTGGTTCCCACTGGTTCAAAATGGGTATTGAATATTTATCAATGTACCATAGAACTTCAAATAAAAGCCTCGTCCCTCAATTGTGACATTAGAAAGTGTCACATTTATCTTGCAAGTGTACTCTTCTTCAACGTTTTACTTCCTGGATTTTTCCCGCATGGAAATTCTAACTAATCCCGAGCAGCCTTCTCGCGCAAGGCATTTTAGTTGGTCCGCTTATAAATGCTGCTGTGAGAACATGAACCAACTCTAGGCAATTATGCAACTTTGTAACAAAATCAGTCCCTGATTAGGACCAAAGCTAGACAGCTCTAGGTCTGAAAGCACCCGCAGACGTCTGGTCTAGTGCCCATCTAGTTCATTTTTATAAAACTTCTTTGGATGTATAAAACAGGTTTGTTGGCGACCCGCTGGAGCTAACATTAGTTAGCTGCCTAGATCACAGATACAAATATAAATGTTTAAACTTCTGTCAATATGGACATATTGCATATATTGTTAGCTTGGTAAGATTGTCAATTGTTCAGTTTATCTTAGAGAAACCATGAGCACCAAAGAATACCATAACTCATTCAGATTTACCCGCTAAGAGAGATGTAAAAAAAGTGGTGACTTCTTCATAATTGATACATTATTAAAAACTACTTCAAACAAGTAATATTCACACTGGTTTAAATAAACAATATGATCGTATTTCCCATCTTTGCAGTGCAGCAGTATTGTATGAAAAAAAAAATGCCTGTCTCATATAGATACCTGTCCCAAATATAAGGAAGGAAGGCCAACATGACTTGGCCCAGAATCGGCCTGAACCCGGTATGCAGGATGTAATTAGCCAGGCTGGGTCTGGTTGCCCAACTCAGCTGAGACTCGGCATGAACGACGGGCCAAGTCAGCTGGCCCGATTCTGGCTGCTGATGCTGCCATCACTGGGCTCTTATCAGAAATTACCTGGCCCAGCATCGGCCCAAACTCGTCATTCCAGATGAAGTTAGCCAGGCCTCTTACTGCTGCCTGACTCGGCTGAGATGAATGATGTATGAATGATGCCGTAGAATCGGGCCAAATCAGCTGGCCCAATTCTGGATGCCGAAACTGCCATCACTGGGCCGTTATCAGAAATTATGTGGCCCAGCATCGGCCCAAACCTGGCATTCTGAATGAAATTAGCTGGGTTGCATCTGGTTGTTTGACTCGGCTGAGACTCAGTATTAGTTCATTGATTAAAGCCAATATTAGCCCAGGCTATCAACTGAATTTTTACAGTATTTATGTATTTATTTATTCATTCAAAAAAAAAATTGAAAAGAAATGGACTACAACAGCTGAGTGATGTCGAAACCTTGAGAGGGACTATTTTTAACTGTGACGGTTCGGGACGATTCATTAAGGAACACGTCACTGGCTCATTGATGTATTTTTATTAAACAACAATGGACATTTATGGCATAGAGGAATACGCCAGATCAGGCTTTAGATACACAACCACTACTTGTTAGTAAGATTGATTTATTAGTGATTTTGGTGTTTTTATGGGATTATTAGTCAAATAGTCAATAGTTGTAATTGATCTGATTCAGATTTATTAGACAGAAAAATCTAAAGGTAAAAACAACCATGAGTAATTTAATTAGTCAGACTGTGCTTTTATATAGTCTTTATGATTTCAGACAGCTGATCTGTGATGAATTCACTTTGAATCTGACAGTGTTCATCTCTCCTCTGTAACAGATATTACTACAAAAGAGAAATCCTAGAGCGAGTAGACGGGCGCAGACTGGTTTACAAGTTTGGAAGGAACGCGCGAGGATGGAGGGAGTCAGACAAGTGACAATTTCATTAATTTATGTTTCCTTTGATGTCAAACGCAAATGTGATGTTTTATTGTAGTTTTCATTGATCGTGTTTTATAGAGATATGTTTGAACTGTTTACACATTGTTGACGATGAGTCTGTTTGTATTGTTTTTTCCTTTAAACTCATCCCTTTGTTGTGACACTGCACTGAGATGTTCCTTACTGTGCCTTATAAAAAAAAAAAAAAAAGTAGCTTATTGTTCCAACCTGACAGTGGTCAAACCTCACACACTTGTGTTTACGTAACATCTCACTGAGGAGAAGGATATCAAAACTGCCAAATGCAGGCATAAAACATTGAGAATTCTGTTTTTATTTTTACATTTTCGTCAGATGCTACAACTCCCAAAGGAGCACGTGTTGATAGCATTCAAAACATAGGTTGTAAACAGATGTATGTTTTTGACACTGATACTGTGAAGTGTCCTTTGGGAAGGAAATCACTGCAGGAAAAAACACAAAATTAAATAAAATAATATTCCTGAAGCGCAATTCAGCTATGAAGTACAAGAATGCATAAACAAGTGATACATATTTGCATAAGAATGGTTTGTTTCATTTGGTTCATTTCATTGAACTGTAAAGAAAGTTTGTACATGTTTCTTAATGTTTGATACAAATAAAGTTTGCTTTGTTTTTAGTTTATGAAAGTCATTTTTTTAGGATTGTATGTACCCTTTGCTAAGTCCCGCCCCCAGACGCAAACTGGCCAATCATAACGTAGCATCTGGCCCGCTCATACCAGGGTCCGACAACAACAATCGTTTCAGTTTTCCTTCATTTTCAGACTGATTTTGTGGATTTGGAGCTAAATGTTGTGCCTGGGGCACGTCGTGTGTTAATGATACTCATTGCCTGGAGAGATTGGAAAAAGATATACGTTTCCTCCCTGTTCCAAAACCAAAATCAAACCCTGAAAAGTGTAGGGTTAGCTAGCTAGCTACTGAATATATAGCCCACTGAATGTATACACATGCTGCCTTTGCTTTGAAATGATTATAACAGTGAACAGTTCCTGTACAGGAACCAGTGAAGGGAAGCAGGGAAACTTTGCTGATATTCAACCAGCTCTGTGTCATCACATTGTGCTCAGATGAACGTTGTTTGACTTCTCCCGGAGATCCCTGCCCGTCCAGTGGCGAAGATCTGAGGTAGGTCTTTTTTCCAGTGTTATAATCATTAAAAAGCAAAAGCAGCATGTGCACACATTCAGTAGGCTATATCTTCAGTAGCTAGCTAGCTAACCCTACACTTTTCAGGATCTGATTTTTGGTTTTGGAACAGGGAAGAAACGTATATATCTTTTTCCAACCTCTCCAGGTAACGAGTGTCATTAATACACGACGTGCCCCAGGCACAACATTTAGCTCCAAATCCACAAAACCAGCCTGAAAATGATGGAAATCAGCAACACCATTCATCTGCACACACTGCGATGACACAGAACTGGTTGAACTTTCCATTTATATTCATTGTCTTCTGTGTTGATCAGCAGTGATGTGGTGGTTCACTTTTACACTGTGATCTGTAGCCTATAGTTAGGCTTTAGCTTCTAACTTTCTTTGTCTTTTTAACCTGTTGTTGCTGCTGAGTTAAAAAACAAAGACCAGTTATTCTGATCAATCATATCAATCAGCATTTTGAGTTCAAGCTCCCACCCAAATTTCAGCTGTTTTTCTCCACAGTGTGACTCAGATCCAATCCTCAATCCCACTGGATCTGCTACGAGCTTGACTTTGAAAAGCCATGCACTCTGAGGTCATTTCTGTTTTATCATGACACTGTGAAATGCCACACAGTTAATTGCTCACCGGCGCGTGCCACAGCTGCCCCAGCTGGTTCCTGCAGGCAGCAGACGAAATGATTTGCCCCTTGATGGTCGATAAGATAAAAGCATCGTCAATATAAGGCTCCATTCTTTGGCCTGTGTTCACAAGCAAATTTTGGTCTAATCTTCACTCTGATTTATCTGGCCCTTGTAGCCCTTCTTTACATAGCGTGGCGTTAATTGACGCCGTGTACGGTTATTATCTCTCCTTACAGTTTTAAAATCTGCCCACTGCACCGCCACCGCTGCAGCTTTCTTGCCACTCTCTGCTCTCACACACACACATCAGTGTCACTAACCAACACTGTCACGACGCGAGCTGGAGGAAATTACACCACATGTCATTATCAAGAGGTAGACATCAGTCTTGTAGTGTCAGACCTGATGGAAACAACTAAAAGAGCATTTCTTCCTGGCAGCAGGAAACCATCTCTGATTAGGGGAGTTTGCTGTAATTTTGTTTCCCCATTGATGACTGGATGAAATAAAGAAAATTGCGAGCGCAGAGACGATATAGCCAGTGACTGCTCCTGATTGGGTTGAGATAATAGCTACTGATTACCATTGTTATATTAGCGTACATGAAACAAGCAAGCGACGCGAACTGAAGTGCATATCCCATCATATTCCTTTGTTTAGAGTCTGTGTTGTTACATAAAATCACACTTTGTTGTTCGTCTGGAGTGGCACTTATCGTGGCCCGTATTGTGCGCTTTTAATTTGAAACGTACATAGAATCAAACACGGCTAATTATTCAGCAAAACAAATGTTGTAATAATAAGTGGCATATGTTTTATATGCTTAAATAGTGGCAGCAATGAAGCAAAGTGCAACTGTTAAGCATCATGAATGAGAGTTGTGTGTGATGTACCTTTTACCTCAGATGCTTCCAAACCATGAGACACTGTAAACACAGCACAAAAAGATGAGCATCTAATCATCGGAGGCGCAGGCAGACGTCTGAAATGTGGCCTCAGTTACACTTGTGAATAATGTGGATGCTGCTGTGAGCTGTGATAGGCGGACATGTTTGATGTGATGTGAGTGAAGATAAGTAAACAGTTAGGCAAATCGTCTAGACTGATCTAACCCCTGCAGCACAGACAGACAGCAGCTTGATTTCCCTAACACACTGCGGCCCTTGTGAATGCAAACCCAGGCTTTACATACTCTCAGTGTGTGAGAAACCATGACGGCCACTCACAGCTGATTCAAATCAGACATCAGTGCCCTTTAATAGGCAGTGATAGTGAATGTGAGGTGTGTGTGTGTGATTCACTGATGCCCATGACTTCCCCACTTCTTGAGAATCAACCACACATGGGTGAATATAATGTGTCATTTGGGAAAGCACCGTCAAACCAGCTTAACAAGTATTTACAACACTCGGTTGTAGGGCACTCGTGGCATGCAGGCACCAATGTCACGTAGGCAAAAATGCGCCCGAACCGGTTGTAATTGATCCGGGAAGGAACAAAAAAACACACAAATGCAGCTGGGAAGAGATATTTAATCTGTGCGAGTCATTTCAGCAGTGAGTGGTTTCATTGCACACCGACTGCCATGATAAGAATAGTGCAACTGTCTAGGAAGACAGGCGACAAAATGTAGGTAAAGTTTATTTTGCCTCCCACAGATGAAACAATGGCTGCCTTTGTTCTGCCAAAAAAAAAGTATCCGTCCACAAGTGCCTTTATCTCTCATTGTCAGAAAATTATTTTCAGATTTGAATGAGCCACGCAAGGGCTATTTTATTATTTAAAAGCGAGTGCATTAATTCAATCAGATAGATGCTGGCAGAAGAACAGGGAAGTGATGAAAGATAGGCAGAGCATGGGCACAGAGACAGCCAGCTAGGATTTTGTGTCTGTGTCCCATGCCTGCTCAGTGGGGCTATTGTGTTCTCTCAGCAGATACACAGCCTCGGCTTATCAGGGCACCTTATCATTTTCTCTTCACACTCAAATGGACCTGTGAGGCATTCAGCCCAAACTGTGAGTTGGACAGATTAGAACTGAGTCACTGATGCAGCTTTACTTTGTTTGGGTGCAGGGGGTGAAGGGGGGGCTGTGTCGCAGTTCACCGCCCAGTTAGTAATAACGCACTGCTTTGTGATCTTATGACAGAAAAAGTAGGTGAGTGAAGGGAGAATTTCAAAAGAGGCAAACAATCGAAGAACTCCTGCATTCACATGAAACAAAGACCAGCTCTGATGTGACAGTCACTAATTAAGTGTGAGTTACAGTCAGGTCTGCAGTTCTGATGAGACAAACAACAAAACAAGGAAGTATTCATGACAATGCAAAGACGAATTGTTATGAAGCCAATTTCCTACTCAAATTTTTGGACTTTCCATCAATGTTTGTTTCCTGATTCACTTCTGACCATTAAGTCACAAAATAATTTCCTTGTTTGCACAAACAAACATGTAGGCTCATGCTCATATGCATCTTTTATATACAAACGTAAAGGTTCCCGTTTAATGTGGAAAATTACAAATGCAAAGAGATTTTTTTTAACACATTTGACAAATGCACATGTGACTAAGAGAAATTCATATTAAGAAAAATATGTGTCATGGGACAGATGTATTTCTCTCAGTTACTCAGAGATTACTGGGACTGGACGGACTAAATTTTTCTACATTAAAGTTATATCTGTCTGCTGATTACACATACCATTTGAAGATGATTACATATAACATATTGTTTGCAATGTTTATTTGAATGGAAGACAGTTACATGTACAATATGACACAGGGACTGTTGCAACATGGCCAAAATACATTGAATTTCACCTATTATCTTTTGCTTAAGTCTTAATAAGCAAAGTATTCTGAAAGGAATAATGCACTGAAGTACAATACTATTATAATATTGTGTATTTATACAATACTATTATAGTATTATTTATCTATTCAGTGTTATTAATTATGTATGGATGGGTAAAAGCTGAAATTCTTTGAATTGGACCAAAAGCAGCATGTTTGGAGGCCTCAGCAAGCACTTTAAAACTAATATTACTAACTTGGGAGTCAGATTTAAATTTTAATTCTCATTTTCTCATTTCGGGCAAGAATATCCCACTTTTCAAAACTCATTTCCGATCATAAAAACAACCCCAAATTTCTTTTCTCCACCTTCGATCTTTTAACCAACACCAATTTTAATAAACCATCCAACATATCAACAGATGCCCTCTGCGAGGACTTTGCAGACCACTTCAGAAGTAAAACTGACGATATCAGATCCAGTCTTTTATCCCAACGGAATGTAATTTTTAACACACCTGGATCATTGCTTTTACCTGAGGAAACACTGGAGAGTTTTGCCCTGGTTGATGCAAGGACACTTGGTCGAGTTTTCTCCCAGGTAAACCCAACAACTTGCCTTTTAGATCCGATTCCCACATCACTTTTAAAGACATTTTATGGATTCTTTGAGGAACAGATTTTAAATATAGTGAATTACTCTCTTCAGACGGGTGTCTTCCCCACTGCCTTCAAAACAGCGGTGGTGAAGCCTCTTCTGAAGAAGACTAATTTAGATCCCAACATTTTTAATAATCACCGACCTGTATCCAACTTACCGTTTTTAAGTAAGATTTTAGAAAAACTGGTTTTTAACCAAGTAAATGATTTTTTAAAAAGAAACAGTATTTCAGAGAAATATCAGTCTGGTTTTAGGATGAACCACAGTACCGAGACAGCCCTTTTAAAGATTTTAAATGATATCAGGTTGAATGTTGATTCACAAAAACTCACAGTCTTGGTACTACTGGATCTAAGCGCCGCCTTTGATACAGTAGATCACCA